TTCCGCTCCCCGAAACCAAAGCCGCCATGCACCTCAGTGTACCCACCTGCAGATGACCCAATACGACCATTGAAATCTCCTCCTATGAATAACCTCTCAGAAGACGGTATACTACGAACAATCTCATCCAACCCCTCCCAAAAGCGCCTCTTAATATCCTCATCCAAGCCTGCTTGCGGTGCGTACGCGCTAACGACATTTAAAGTACCCTCGCCCACCACCAACTTAATAGTCATTAGTCTATCATTCACTCGCCTGACCTCTACCACGGACTCTCTAAGATGGCTATCTACCAGGATACCCACTCCATTCTCTAAGATGGCTATTTCCTTATTAATCTGTTCAAAAAAGAGTGGCCCTTTTCTATATTTGGTAATAATTTAACTCTAAATTTCACATTTTACCCTTAATGGCATGCTTTTATAATCACTAAAATGTCATGGCAGGTTTAGAACCACAAGTTTCAAGAAACTTGTCTGCTTTCTTAACTCTATGCTGAGTCAAATTCCACACGTAAAATCGGAGCAGAGGGAGTAGTAAAAAAGAGTAAAGCAAATGGCTTAGAACAGTTAGTCCCGAGGCAGAAAGGGCAAAACATAAACTCCCTGAACCTGAGTGATGTCACAGTATTCTTCTCCTAATGTTTGCTTCCCTGCACCCGTTGTCAGCATATAATAGAGCATTTGCCCCAAGAGTTTTGCCTGGAAAAAAAAAAAGACACCAATTCTAGTATTAGGAACGCTATCCTTGGGGTATATGTTCTAGGTAAACAACTTACGAAATTAGAACTGTTAGGCTTCACAAGTAAGATCCAAAGGCTATCTTACATGTCTTTTGGCTCCACAATTGAAAAGGAAAGGTAAAGGAGGAGAGGAAGCTAGCACAATTAATTTTGGTGTTAGGTATATTTGGAAGAGAAAAAAGAAATATACTTCTTCTTTCCCGTCCAATTCTACAGCAAAGAGTTTAATTATGCATAGCCACTGTTTGGATAACATTCTCAGTCATCTTCATAATGAGCCCTCAAGATAAGCAAGTTGCTCTTGCACTGAAATCACGTTGTTCTCTTGATGCTAGATCATTCTAATCATTTTAACTCCTTCTAATCCACTCCTATCCAACATAAAAGGAGTACACAAAATTTTCAACCCACTATTACGTCATTTTCTGATTGCCACCTATAGTTTTCTTTTATTTCTTTGATCTCCTAATGTTATTTGGATGCCATATGGAACTCTAAGCTCTAACCAACTGGGCTTACCCCAGCCAAAGAGGACTAGAATGAATAAAACGTTCTGTGTAAGTTCAAAGTAAAAGGTGAGGGTGACTCTTGCTTAAAAACTCCCAGTGGCTAGTAATCCAATTCCGAAGTTCCAAATTAGGAGAATACATACCAAATTGGAATAAATTCATTCTGACTAGTAATACAATTCCGATACATCACTAGCCAAATGGATTTTGCAATGAAGTTCATTCTAATAAACAGAGTAAATCAATCAGAGAAAACAGATCTCAAGTTATATACAAGGTCCCTTATCCACTATCAACAATAAAAAAAAATTAAAAAATAAAACATTTTTTTACCAACTATTTAGAAACAAAAATCAATCTTTTTTCTTTCCTTAATACACACTGCACATAGTCTAATGAAATTAACAACTTGGGACAACACAGTGTTAGAGCATCAAAAGGAAAAAATGGGAATTACCTCATTCTGGTAAGCTACAGCGACTCTTGTACCTGAAGAAACAGGAACTTACAAATTTCAGAAAGATATACAGTTACGAAGCGAAGCTAACTAAGAAAAAGGGTGTAGTGAGAGAGACCGAAGAGGTGACGGAAAGCATCACGGCAAGCGTCATAGACAAAGGAGGCATACTGGTCATCTTTCTCGGCGGCTCTCATAATCTCCGGCTGCGCCGCCAGTGGGAACCTCTTCACGCTGCCGGAAGTGGAGGCGCNGACAATTCCATCACCTACAATCCTACGAGTAGGGCCTCGTGTCAATGTTGGATCAGATAAAAAGAACCAAAAACAAAAGTGAAAAATTAAATTGCCGCCGCCGTGGCTGCTGTTTCCGGCATTGGCTGAAGTTCTAGCAGGTTCCTCCAATCCCATGATTCAGAATTCAGATAGAGTATTGCAGAGTGTTGAACATCGGTGGTCGGGAAGTGAAAAGCTATCCTAGCCTTCGAAACGACGGCATTTTATCAACGGGTTCACTAAATTGGATTACCGGCCTTTGCAACATAATCCGAGGTTGTATTTCGCGAATGATCGTGGCCGTTAAAAAATATAGTGATATTTGCATCTCTCCCAATAGTTTTATGCAATAAAATACCTCCCTAAGATTTGAATGTTTCCACTACCTCCTCAAATTTATCATGTCTAATTATTTGCTTTATTGTAAGTGAACCTAAAAGGAACATTTTTGCAGATTAAATTCACGTTTTCCTACATTTCTTAACTATTGTTGTTCATTTTTAATCCTTATATTAAATGAGAAAAAAAACCTATATAAAAAATGAGAGATTTGCGTTTCCTAACCATTTAAGAGATTAGAAGTTTTTACCTTCAGGGAACTTCTCATTTATTACAATTCAACCGCATAAGAACTTTAACCAGTAATGTTAGTATGAAGTCCAGAAAATAATAAAAAAAGAAAGAGAAAATTAGAAAAGCACCTAATATGGTTCAGTTAATTAAAGAATATATAATATATACTTTCATTAACCTTGTATTCTGGAAAATACACCACAGGGTCCTGAGATCCAATCTTAAGTTAAAGTCCATTTGATTCAAATCGTGAATCGAATTCGGCTTACACTTGATTTTGCAGTAGCCCAATAATATTTAGTTTCTGCAGTAGCCCAATCTCATTTAGTACGTGGACAATTCCATCGCCTACAGTCCTATGAGTAGGGCCTCGTTGTGTCAATGTTGGATCAGATAAAAAGAACCAAAAACAAAAGTGAAAAATTAAATCGCCGCCGCCGTGGCTACTGTTTCTGGCATTGGCTAAAGTTCTAGCATGTTCCTCCAATCCCATGATTCAGAATTCAGATAGGATATTGCAGAGTGTTGCACATCAGTGGTCGGGAAGTGGAAAGCTATTGACAAGTTTCTAACGTTGTATCCTAGCCTTCGAAACGACGGCGTTTTATCAACGAGGCTTCACTAAATTGGATTACCGGCTTTTACAACGTCATCGAGGTTGTATTTCACGGAATGATCGTGGCCGTTAAAAAGTATAGTGATATTTGTATCTCTCCCAATAGTTTTATGCAATAAAATACCTCCCTAAGGTTTGAATGTTGAGAGTACCTCATCAAATTTATCATGTCTAATTATTTGCTTTATTGTAAGTGAACCTAAAAGGAACATTCTGGCAGATTAAATTCACGTTTTCCTACATTTTTTAACTATTGTTGTTCATTTTTAATCCTTAAATTAAATGAGAAAAAAGGCCTACTTAAAAAATGAGAGATTTACGTTTCCTAACAATTTAAGAGATTAGAAATTTTTACCTTCAGGGGACTTCTTATTTATTACAATTCAACCGCATAAGAACTTTAACCAGAAGTCCAGAGAATAATAAAAAAGAAAGAGAAAATTAGAAAAGCACCTAATATGGCTCAGTTAATTAAAGAATATATAATATATACTTTCATTAACCTTGTATTCTGGAAAATACACCACAGGGTCCTGAGATGCAATCTTAAGTTAAAGTTCATTCGATTCAAATCGTGAATCGAATTCGGCTTACACTTGATTTTGTGGTAGCCCAATAATATTTAGTTTCTGCAATAGCCCAATCTCATTTAATACGTGGATAATTCCATCGCCTACAGTCCTACGAGTAGGGCTTCGTTGTGTCAGTGTTGGATCAGATAATAAGAACCAAAAACAAAAGTGAAAAATTAAATCGCTGCCGCCGTGGCTGCCGTTTCCGGCATTGGCTGAAGTTCTAGCATGTTCCTCCAATCCCATGATTCAGAATTCAGATAGGGTATTGTAGAGTGTTGCACATCGGTGGT